ACTTGGAGCTGGGCTTTCATGAGTCACCAGTGATGGCATCGGCTGCAGTGGGGCTGGCTGGCAGGTGGCATGCACTTTCGTGAGCTGCTGTGAGCCGCCATGAGCAGCCGTCCAATGACCAGCGAGCGACTGCCTCACCCGGGAAGAGCACAATGATGGTGCCAACTTGGGCCAGTGAAGCGGCGTCCTCCACAACCAGACTGAAGAACAAAAGGACAGCAACTTGTCTGTTCCCCTTCTCCGATTCCCCAACACTATTTCCCTCCCCCAATTCCCCAATAAAATCTTTATTAAAAAAAACAAAACAAAAAACTGCCCACTATACCCCTGAGCCTCCTCGACGAGGAGCAGACCTGGGATTCCCACCTGGCCGTTGACTTATGTGGCCTGGCTCCAGTTTTCTTCAGGTAGGTATCATGATGCTTACATCAGAAGACCTAAGAAATGGAGGACAGTGAAAACCCTTTGCAAACTGTAAAGTTCCAAAGAATTATTTTCTTCCCTGACCCAGTATGCTGAGTTTGATACAAGATTGTCAGAGGATGGCCAGCCTGGAAGTTGTGGAGAAAACAGAATCCAGTCCTCCCTGAACCCTGGTCCTGCTACAGCTCCTACTCCCCTTCCTCATGCCTCCCTCCTCAACGGCTCCCTTCCCCAGGCTTGGTGACCCAAGGCGACCTTAGAAGAAGGCCTTTCCTGGGGGCGTGACACCATGTTTATGCCATTCGTGGGGCTCCAAAGCCCTGGGAACCGGGAGCCAGGCAACCTGGAGTCCCAGCCTCGCGCCCGAGCGGGCGGCCTCCCCTCTGGCCGGCAGGTGGCAGCACTCACCCGGGTTGGGGTCGAGCTTCGGCAGCGAGTCCGCCGAGCAGTTACTAACTTTCTCCGGTTGGCGTTCCTGCCTCCCTCCGGGCCGCGGGCGGCCTCAGATCCCCCGCCGGGCGACTGCGGCGGGAGCGCAGACTCCGGGGCAGCGGAGGCGCAGGCACGCTGCTTGGCCCCGGGCGCTAATTAAAAAGCTGTATTGCTCGCCCGCGTCCTCTTCGCTGGAGCTGCAGGCCTGGCGCATTCCTGGCGCCGCTGGGCGGAGGGTTGTGTTCCCATCCCGCCCCCAGCGAGGGCTGTGTGCATGGGACACCGGGTTCCCACCCTCAAGCGGTGTGCTGGGACCCTGGGCTCCATTCTCCCGATTGGGGCCTTACCACCCCGGCCCAGAGCAATGAAAACAGTGAGGGCAGCAGACGTCCCTGCGTCTTGGTGGGAATTAAGGGGGCAGACAGACCCTAATCCTCATTTCCAGGGTAATTCGCAGTTTTAGAGTTTACAAAGCACGTTCACGCGATTATCTCCTTGAAATCTTCCAACTCTGTGAAGGAGGTAGGCTAGAATTTCCCAGAGGTTCAGAGATTGAGCCATGCGTGGGGTGCAAAACCCAATAGGCATAATGGCCAAGCTTCTGGACTCCCAGTACAGTGCTCCTACTACTACCTGCACTGCCCCCATTAATCACACCTTGGCTCTTTATTTAGGAGTTACTGCTTCTCATTCCTGAGGTGGGGGTGGGAGGGGCGGTGAAGGGAGGGGCAAGGGAAGGTCAGGGACACTCCATGATGAGCCTCTCTGATTAGAAATTGGATGGAGGAGATAGCCATGTTCACTCAGAGCCCCTAATTTTTGCTAAGGCACTTTAGGTCAGGAGGAACCAGCCCTAGGAACAGGAGAGGGAATGGGGTGGCAGTGATGATGGGAGGCCATCGGGACACATAGGGGTAAGCAGGGGAGACCCCCGGATATGGCAAGAGAGAAGGATTGCTTTCATGCTGCTTCCCAGAAAGGGGAGATGGGGCTGGTGGCCGCTCTCTCCCACCTACAGAGGCTGCACCCAGCTGGGGCCTAAAGAGCTCCTCTCTTGGCTCCCCACCCTCCCCTCCACTCCCCTCTCAGTCGCTCAGATTCCAATGCAATTTCCAGCTAACCAGCATGTCGATAGAACAAGTCGGGCAGCCGGATTGCTGGCCAATTACAGGAAATCATTCTGCTCCACAGCTCAGCTCCCAGGGAGAGGGCGGGAGGGAAGGAGGGAATGCGAGGGAGCAGGCGCGCCCAGCTCACAGGCTGAGAAGAGGCTTGGGGCAGGGAATGCGGCAGCCCCTGGGAGAGGCTGGGTGTGAGAGCAGCGGGTGGGGAAGCTTCTGGACCCAGCTCCCTTGTGATAAAAGAATGGTGCCCCAAGCCACAAAGAGAAAACTGAGGGCTGAGGGCCAATGAGGAGTGTTTGGAGTGGGGGGTGGGGTAGGGGGGAGGGGGGATGCAACTGCTTCAAATAGAAGTGGGGATGGTGAGACCAATCTTGCCCAGAGCCCTGTGTTTGGGAATGGGGATGGCACCCAGGCCTCCCTGGTTCAGAGGAGCCGTGCAGGGCCATCTGAGTACCTAAAAGCCGGGGCCCACATGGGCAGGACCTGTGCTTCCACACCAAGCCATAGACCCAGGGGTTCCTGGGGGGGCCAGGTAGAGCGGTTTTAAAGGGGAAGAGGGGAGAGGAAAGAGGCTTCAGCTTGCAGCTGAGTGGACCAGCAGCAGCCTCACTTGGTGAAGGGGTAAGTCTGGAAGCCATCTTTCCACCCCAGAAGGTAGGGCACAGAAATGCTGGAGGGGACAATGGCCGCCTCGCTTACCTTCCCAGCCCCTCAGCCTTATTTCCCACCTCTAGCCCTCAATGAAAGGACCCCAATTCCCCTCCATTTTCTATCTGTCTGCATCCACCCATACCCATGGGCCTGGATGCCTCTTTGCCGCCCCTACCCCCCATCTCCATCCCTCATCACATCTTTCCCAGAACTGTCTTAATTACCCCCCAGGCTGCCCATCCAGCAGCCCCTGAGATGCCCGTTTCCCAGCACAAATGTTTAGCTCCCCTTGCCAACCCTGGGGTCCCTCCCACAAAGTACTGGAAGACCCTGGAGGGACAGAAACTTCCCTATGGACTAACTCCATCCAGTGAATGACTATTGTTCCTATGTGTCTTGAAACCACCCCACCTCCCCCCCAAGAGGGAACTGTGACCCAGTGATCTCTTCCCTTGCTGGAACCTGTAGCCACCTCTCCAGGCCTTCTCCCCAATTCCCAGGATC